GAGGGGAGGGATGATAATTCAAATAGTACAGAAGTGTAACAATTAGGAAGTAAAATTTTCCAGTAAACGCCTAAGAGAACCCCCATACCACATTATTTTTACAGGGATCTGGAAAAAGAAAATTTTTTCTTCTGCTGGGCATCTTTTGGAGAGAGTTTCTTAGAGAGGGCACTTGAAGTTGGGGCATTACACAATATTAATCAAGGTCTTTTCTGATTATTTGGTGGTGTTGACGAGGGTGGCTCCCTAGGTTTGGCAGTCAGAGCTGATGTCCCTGGCTTTGTGACTTGGGGGCTGGCCCGGGGTGCCCCTTCTTCTCAGTCCTAGCTTCCAGCTGGGCTGCACGCAAGCTCTTTCCTCATATGGTTTTCCTCCTAACTGTTCCCCTCTTCTCCTTGTCTGTCTCTATTCTGCTGCTTGTGTGACTTGGGGGTTTTTCTTGGCTTCAATCTTGGGATTTCATGGTATAGATGACAAGGAAATGTTGTCCAAGTCACCCTTAAAGAACCTGATCCTCATTGGTAATAAGATGCTTCAAACATTTATATTATGAAAGCTGCCCCAGCAATGCCTAGCCCTGAAAACATCCTGATGCAGGCTTCATAGTTGTGGTTTGGGTCGATACTTTGCATTCCAGTGTTTTCCCTTCTGCATGGGAACTGAGGGCGTTTCCCATCTTCCCACCAACTTTACTTCCTTTAAAAGAGAATGTAAAACCAGTTTAATACTCTCGAAGATGTAGTTAGATAAGAGTATGTGTTTACAAAACTGATCAATCGGGCACTTGGGTAAAACTTACTTCTTGGACATTTTATGAGGCTAGAATTTCTCCAAATACTGGGAAGTGGCCAGTGGTCAGTTAAGGATTTTGTGTGAGAAATAGTACATTCTTCTCTTTGCCTCTCTTCAGCATCTGTATGACTGAAACGGGACCTCAAATCAAGACACAACCTAAGATGAAGCAGGGATATGTACCTCTTCTCCAAGTGGGCATCTTCTTTGTGGGGAAAAGACAGAGAGCACGGGGAGCATGCCCCACCGTTCCTGCTCAGCTCCATTTAAAATTGGACATTTGTTTTCTTAAGACTTGCATCTTTCACATTTCTGTCTCCTCCCATCAAGCAATGCTGGCTAGAAAGACTCTTTGTTTTCATCTGAATATATAAAACCTGTGTATCACCTCTGCAGAGGAGCTATCTACTAAACTAATATCTGACAGTGCTGCAGACTAATACATGGCAGGTTCCCTGGAAAGATGACCAATTAATCACATGACTTGTAAGGTTGCATTGCGTCCTGTACTTTGGATAGCTGATGATTACGCGTCTTTACAGAGGGTGCCATAAAAATGCATACACATTTTAAGAAAGGAAAACTGTATTAAAATTGTAAAACTCAATATATACCGATAACAAAAGATGAATACAAGTCACATTTGACTTCTGCAATTACAAGAGGTGCTCAAAGTGGCTACCGTCAGCATCCAGACACTTCTGATTACGGCGATCTACTGCTTGGGCAACGTTAACCAAAGTGTCTACTTGTATACATTTTTTTGGCACTTCCGGTATTTGTGACTATTTGATTAACATCTGTGTGTCCCACTAGACTGTACGTTCCACAAGTTAGGCATGCTTTGTTTTCTCACCATCATCTCCTCAGCATTTATCCAGCACATGTTGGTGTTCAATAAATATTTGTTGAATGAATGAAAGCATGAATATTTACTTTTCTTATTGAAGACAGATGATTAACTTACACAGAAGAGTTATTTCCTGTTTTGTTTTGGGGCTTTAAGGCCACTTTTCAAAAATCTTGTGGAAGGCTGCATATAGAGCTGAAGGGAAATAAATGTTTTTAAAGCAGGGCAGTTGTAGAGGGTGGGTTCATAACTTTTTTATTAGCCAAGTAATAGTTCTAGTTAAGCAAAAAAGGAAAAGTTCAGGTGGAAAACACAGGTTTGCACACAGATTTCTATTGGGTTTGGAGCTTCCCAGAATAACTGATAGAAACTCCCTTTCAAGGGTTATTAAAAATTGAGCCATCTTGATCTGGCAAGAGAAAATACACTACCAGGAATTACACCCTCCCCACCCCACCCCCCACGTTGGCTTTCCTCAAGCAAAATGACAGATTTTAGGTTTATGCATCTCTGACTTCCAGATTCAGGAAACCTTAGAATTAGCATTAGAACCAAAGACTTTGCTTAAAGGTCTCTTGGTTAAATCTCCTTAATTTACAAATGAGAAAACATAAGCCTGGGGAGTAAGTGTTTTGGATCATAAAATGAGGAGCTGAAGAGAGTGTTCAGCACCCCCTGTCAATAAAAAACTCCAGCTCTCGAAATGAATGCACAAAAGAAGTTCTCTCTTAAATTGAAAGATAATTAAAATTTTAAAGGGGCAAAAATGTTTCTAAACTTAAGTGGTAATGACTATCATTAAAGGTAAAAATGAAGTCTGATTGTTTTCAGCTAAGACACACATCACCTTGGTAGCTTCCGCTGGCTGATAAGGACGACCTAACCACAGCTACTGAGGCCTTCAGTTTTAAAAGTAAAGAAATGGGGGTAGCACTTTCCTTTTCAGTGTGGTGAATAGAATCCATCTGGGCACAGCCAGTGGGTTAATTTCAAGAGGCTGTGGGATGGATTTAAAATAGAAGCAAAAGTGAAGACAGGGACTCCAGACTGGCTTCCGGCCCTGGGGGGGGGGGGACACGACGATTTTGACTCCTGCACACGGGAATGGGATTCTGTGGCTTTCCCTCCAGCTTCGTAACTGAGTTTCCTATTTTGGGAGGATTTTTTTCATGCTAGAATCTTCATTCTCTCTTCCACTTCCTTTTTGTTTCACTCTGTTCTTCCCTTTGCGATTTTTCTTTCTTGGCTAGCCCGAGGGCTTTTCTGATCAGCAGCTCCTCTGGCACGCCCAGCAGCCATAGGAGAGCGCCTAATGCATTTCAGATTTCGAAGTGATAGTTGCCTCTTCCTCCCACCGAATTTAGGGAAAGGAAACCCAGGTTTCCTGAGGACCACCTGTTGAATGCTAGGTGCTCTCATACATGCCATTTCCATAGCTCCTCCCAGCCACCCTGCCGAGGGCTCCATTTGTACCCGAGGGAAGAACAGACTAAAGCAAGGAGGAAGCCAAGCTGGGATTTAAACCCGTGGCTGTCTGAGTCCAGGCCTCTTGCCATCCTGCTTCTGGGTAAGCAAGATTTGGAATTGTGCAACATACTTTAGAGCAGCACTCAGAATGCAGGTGTGGGTATAGATTCTTATAGACTTTGTTTTAGAATTATTTATTTATTTTTAATTAACTTTTTTTCTTTTAATTGGGGAATTGGGGGAAGGAAACAGTGTTGGGGAATTGGGGAGGGGGACCAGCCAAGTTGTTGTTCTTCAATCTTAGTTGTGGAGGGTGCCAGTCGCCATCTGGCTGCCTGTCGGCAGCTCGTAGCCTCTGAGCTCAAGGTGCCAAGTTCAGTCTTAGTTGCAGGTGGGCACAGCCACCATCCCATGCGGGAGTCGAACCAGCAGCCTTGTTGTTAAAAGCATATGCTGTAGCCACTGAGCCATCCGGGTGGCAGCTCAGCTCAAGGTGCTGAGTTCAGTCTTAGTTGCGGGTGGGCATAACCCACCATCGAACACACAGTCTTGTTATTAGGAGCACGTGCTCTCGCCAGCTGAGCCATCCTGCCACCTGTTGGCAGCTCAGCGGCAGCTCACTCGGGTGCAGCTCACTGGCCCATGTGGGAATTGAACCGGCGGTCCTGTTCCTCAGAGCTCATGCTCTTAAGCTAACTCTTTTGTTTTTTTTTTAAAGATTTTTATTGGGGAATTGGGGGGATGGGAACAGCTCTGGGGAACAGACAAGTTGCTGTTGTTTTGTTCTTCAGTCTAGTTGTGGAGGACGTTGCTTCACTGGCCCAAGTTGGCACCATCATTGTGCTCTTCCCGGGCAAGGCAGATCAGTCTCTGGCTTCTGGACTGCCGCTCACTGTGGCTGCTGGCTGCTCACTCTGGCTGCTGGCTACACACGGTAGCCCATGGCAACTCACTGCCACAGGGGCTGCAGCCTACGCCATCACCGGCGACTCATGGCAGCCCAGCTCCAGGTTGAGCTGTTGTTCAGCATCTTAGTTGTGGAGGGCAGCGTCACTGGCCCTCATATGTGGGATCCGAACCGGGGCCCTCTGGCATCCCAAGCCAGTTCTTAACCATTGCACCACTCGGCCGGCCCTTAAGCTAACTCTTAACCAACTGAGCCACTCAGCTGGCCCTGTTTTAAAATTATTTTAATAATGAAGTCCACTAAGCATCTTATGAAAAACTTGTTGATTATAAACTTCAGAGTACAAACCTTCATAATAAAGTGACCGTTTGGGCATTAATAGCATTTACTTAGAAGGCTTCTGCAAGCTGGGCTTTTGTTACCCTGGTAGATTAAGGGAGCTCTGGCCTTCTTAAGTGGTGCCCCACTGAATTTCCCTAACCAGAAGCTACTTCTCCCTCCATATCATCCCATAGTTAAAGTCATGGTGTTTATCACTTTTATCCTTAGTGTTACATTTACTTATGTCCTGTGTCTAGTGCTACACTGTAAATCTCTTAAGGGCAGGAAGAGTGTTTATCAATGAGTAACAAAAATAACATATTTTGCTTCCTTAGTGCTTTGATCAGTGAGTAGTTTTGAATGAACAGATAAATCAATGTGTCCATGTGGAGATGTCCTGGAAAGAGAAAAATGAGATTGTCGAGTTAAAGACTGGTTATTTTATACCACAGAATTTAGTCATAACCCATTTCAAGATAGAGTGGGCCTGGAAATCATCTGAGTGCAAACCCTAGATAGATGAGCAAGTGGAAGACTAACTCAGTTAAGGTCTTCTTACTTCGTGGCTCCATGTTAGCACTTTCATAAGAGGGTGAAAACGAAGCCTTATATTATTGCCTTCACGTGCCATCGCTGCAAAAATCAACCTCTTTTCATTGCCAGGACCAGGGAAAAGATGTTTGGAGCAACTCTACCAGTTCTAATTCTCGACTTCCACCTCTCATGGCTGCCAATGAAGTATGATTTTCGAGAATTTTTTTCTTTCTCTTTTAACATATTGGATTATTATGATGCTAAAATCATTGTATCGTCTGGGGCTACCTGGGAACTGAGATCATCATGAGATAGCAGTGACTCATCTGAGGACTGTGGACTCTGGAACCTGACTTCCTAGGTTCACATTTCAGCTCCACAGCTTATGAGCTGTGTGACCTTGGGCAAGTTACTAAACTTCTGTGCCTCCATTTTCTCATCTGTAAGTTGCGATTGGGTAATAACAGTAACTACCTCAAAGAAATGTTAAGATAAATTAAGTAGTTCATTCATGTATAGGGCTTTTCTGGAACATTGGAAATGGTCAATTAATGGTAGCTATGATCATGGAATACCAAATAGCTTGAGCCACCTTTATCCAATTATTTCCTTTAATATTGGTAAGAGGAATGTTTACTGAAAATTTCCCTGAGATTTTTTTTTGATAGTCAATGATGGAGATACAATTTCAGTGGGACCTAGAAGGTTTGGATAGGTAAGCAGTGGCCCTTCCAGATAAAGGAAATAGTATAAGTAAACTCAGAGGGGGACAAACCTGGAATTGTCCCCAGAAAGGAAGTAATTCAGTTGAACTGCAGTGTAAGGTGCTCCTTGGGGTGAAGTGGGTGATCTTCAGTAAGAATGGAGGTTTGGGTTTAGCCCATGGAGGTCCTGAGATGGCAGGCTAGGCGGTGGTGGTGGACCGAGAGCATTTAAGTACCAAGATCCCTTTGGAAGCAAGGTGGAGAGATGATTAGCAGGCATGGGATCAAGACAAGGAGACCCACTGGAAGGCTGCTGAATTAGCAGGAACAGAGAGGAGGACGCGGCATCGATAGCACTTTAGAATTGGTGCAGGGGATAGTTAGGTCTCAAGCATAGATAAGTGCCATTAACAGAAAATCAGGGAATTTCGGAGTAGGGGTGGGTTTAGGATAAAGCGATATGATTTCAGTTTGATGACTGTCAGTTTGAGGTACAGATAGGACAACCCAAGAGAACTACCCCTTTGATAGACGTTCAGAACTCGAACGCAGGCACAGTTCAGTTTTAGAGAGAAAGTTTCAGAGTCACTTCTGAGAGTGGTAAAGATATGAGGCTATGTGAGATTCCCTGAGACCACGCCTATGTACTCCAAAGAGACCCAGCATTCTTTGGAGAGAGACAGGGAAGGCATGAAGCAATAAACATGGGACTATAAAACGCTGGAGGGGAGGAACTCGATTCAGCCGCCATGTTGCGACTAAGAGCCTCTCCTCCCATTTTCTACAGTGCTTCCCAGTTTTGAAGCCTGTTCACGGACCAAAGGAGAAATTCCCTATTTCCCTTTTCCCCATCACCTACCAATGGGCAGTAACTCTCAGTATTCCTTTACTACTGGGCAGAGAATTAGGCTAAGATTGTGGAATTTTTAAAATGGCATTATAAAATTTACATGTTTTATATTACAAAGTTAGAAGATGGAAGACGCTAGAGACATAACTTCAAATTAAAAACATTCCAAGTCCCAACTGTTTTATAACCCTTCATTTTGTAGGTGGTTTTCAGTGGGTATAAAAATACTCAGTGGGTGTGTGGGTGGTTTCTCGTGCTTTGGAAATGGTGAGAATATGAGATGCTGATCATTGGGTTCTGGGATGAGAGCTATAATTACTAACTCTCGTGCTTTACCAGGATTGGTTCATGGGTAGATATCTGACTCTAAAAACCCAACAATCCANNNNCGGAAATTAAAAAGAATTATTGTGGCAGAGAAGAGAGGGACTGTACGATGGTGGTTCTTCCTTGTCTCTTTTCATGCCCATCCTGACTGTTGAAGTCAGTGATGTCACTGAAATGAAGGCTGGTGTGGCTTCTCCTAGCCTGGTACGCAACAGCCGCTGCACAGCTGTGATGGAAAGACTTCTAAATATAACCCAGACTCGTTTCAAATCCTCCTCCCCCGAATCTTCGCGGATGTGGCCAACACCCTAAAAATACCTGCTGTCTGAGCCTTTGAGGTATCCGAAGAGGAAGGGGCCTGTAGTAGAATGAGGGCAGTGTGGGGTTTGGGGAGCCCTGAGCAGCTAAGAAGACTGCTGCCCACTCGGGCCTGCTCCGGATGCTGTTTGGTGAGCTGCCGACCGTGCCATCCTGTTCAAGGATAAGAGCCCACTCTTGAGGCTCATATTCACTGTTGGCAGGTTGCAAGGAAACTATTCATAGACGAGGCATCTGTTCTCTGTCCCATTGACCTCAAACCTGCAGCTGCCATCATGGTACTCAGGCAGTGGGATGGTTTTGAGTGTTATTTCACAGAATCAGAATTTTAGAGCTGGCAAGGACCTTAGACATTATATTGTTCATAAAACATTCCATTAAAATCGCTGCATTTAGGGAGTCACATGTCTCTGCCTATATAGTAACCATAGTGATTTGGAAATGAAGTCTCAGTCCTTGATTATTAAAAGAAATCACTCTTATCATTATGTAACACAGATAGGAGCATAATGAAAAACAGCATTTAAAAAAATAATTGACTGAGTGATCCTGTGCAAAGCCTTTTTCTTTTTTATTTAAAAAAGATGTAACTTTGAGGCTCTTTTTCTCACCAAGACTCCAGTATTTTGAATGTAAAATTCATTGGCAACACAGCCAGAACATCAGGAGTCTATTTCAAGAAGACTTCTAATATATAGTTTCTGGAATCCCCAACCATAACCGTGATATTGTAGTTGAAGGACCATAGGTGACCTCTGTTTTCCTGGGGGATAAAGGTTTCACAGATTATCTCCAACACCATTTGGATGCTTTCAAAGTCGTGGAGGCAGTCAGCGCCATCTTATAAAACAGCATAAATTACCCAACTTTTTAAATGTGTGATACCTACCTAACCCGTCTCCTTCAGTAAACTCTGAGAAGGCTGGGTGAAGAGTCTGTGCTAGGAGATGCCCCAAGAAGCCTGTACAGCTAATGGAGAAGATGGGACCAACTGATGTGCTGAGGAATTTTAAATATGTTGCATTATGGTGGTTACAGAATTTCCATAATTGTAACAAGTATGTATCCTCCATTGGGAGCTTCTCAAAGCTCCTTTATGTACCTAGAAGAGTATTGTTGATTTTATACTCTGGGTTGAAAGTAATTTGAAAATTTTTCTTGAGTGTTCAAAGCTTTCAAAATGGTTGGCGTTTTTTTATGTCTCTTAATGCATGTATCTGAACTAGTCGCCTCTAGAAGCTCAGTTTTCCCTGCATCAATACACGTGTAACAAGGCATGAGGTACCTTGGGAGAAAGTGTACTTTGGGAGTCAGTGTGATTCTGACTATTGAAAAGAGGGGGAGGCTTTCGAACTGTTAGTACAGCGGGAAGTTCCTTTTTCCAGACATGTCAAGAAGAGAGGAAGGGGGAGGGAAGTGTCCGTAATGTGTGACACCCAGGTGGCAAAGTTCATGGATTCTCAAATGTTTTCCCTCTGAAATTCCAGAATGAAGAGCTTCGAAACTTGTCCCTTTCTGGCCATGTTGGATTTGACAGTCTCCCGGACCAGTTGGTCAACAAGTCTACTTCTCAAGGATTCTGTTTCAACATCCTGTGTGTTGGTAAGTGACTCAACTCTTGCTGCTGAGCAAGGAGTCTGACCCTTAGTTGGCAAATGACCGTCAGAGGGGGCGCATTTCCAGGAAATAAGGGGAGTAGTATTTTTACTCTCTCTCTCTCTTTTTTTTTTTTTTAGCTGAGCCATCCTGCTACCTATTGGCAGCTCAGCGGCTGCTCAGCTTGGGCTGGACTCGAACCGCTGTTGCTCAGAGCTCAANGCGGCTGCTCAGCTTGGGCTGGACTCGAACCGCTGTTGCTCAGAGCTCAAACTCTTGAGCGAGCTCTTAACCAACTGAGCCACTCGGCCGGCCCAACTCTCTCTCTTTTTTTAATCAGTAAAACAGGGCAATAATACCACACGGTCACACAGTTATAAAGATTGAGACTTGTTTTTGGGTAAATGCTTTGTAAGCTTTGTGGTGTTAGCCAAATTATTATTTTTATTTGTGTCACACAGTCAAGTAAGTGGTCAGTTGAGTATTGTTATTAAAACATTTATTTTAATTTTTGATGACGGCAGTGACTTAGGCCCTAACTAGATTATAGAAATTGAAAGAAGGAACTGAGATGTGCACATATAAGATCACTCAAAAGCCTTTTAAGAATTTGTTTCTAGGGTCTCTGACTACAATGCAATAGTAAACTCTATTGAAGTATTTTAAAAGAAATTCTACCTACAGTAAGTAAAATCTGAAACTATTCTAACTATTTTAATAAACTTATAATGTTTAACATTTTTGCTTTTAGAGCAGAAGACGATTTTAAAAGTCTGTTTCATATTTGAAATAAATTTTCTGCCTGAATTGTCGTCAAATGAACCTTTTGTCCTTAAGTTGGAATCTAAAATTGACCTTAGTTTATTCCTGGTAGATAAATGATGGCAAAAGCCGAAGGGATCTTACTTATTTGCATCCTCAGTGTGTTTTATTCATGTCCTTTAAACATTACACACTAGCCTAGGCCTCTGGCCTTGGTGTTTTTCTTGTTCTCTCTACTCATATACTTTTTAAACTAAGAGGAGGAAGGTAGAAAAGAAGGTAGAAAAAGAGGAAAATAGAAATGGAAAGCTCTTGGCTTGGAGCAGCATTGTCCCAGGAACACATAACAGCCTTTCCGTCACCCTCTCTCTCTGTCATTCCTGATGAATGACCAGCTGAACGGTAGTGAAGTGGTTTGGGCTGCATTGTTTTGTTGCCATTGTCCCCTGGGCATATACTTCTGAGACATCACTCTGAGCTAGACCAACAGGAATTCTGTATTTCTGTATGTAGCCAAATGGACTATCCTTCCCCCGGGTTTGGCAGAACATATCAGACTAATGTCCGAATAAAATGAAATAAATTTAGAAAAGGTGTGTGCTGGATGTAAGAAGTACCTTTTTTAAATTTGTTAGTTATTGGGGGGAAGGGCAGACATTTTCCTTTTTGAAAGTATTTGAACATACTGAATGTAGCTGTGCACTGGACGCTCATTAGCAGAAAGCCACAGTCGACTTGCCCAGTAGACCAGCTTCCTGTCTGGCTTTCCATCTTTAGCAGTGGATAAGAGAATAACTAGAGAGAAACATGACCAGGGCAGCCAGCTCTCATGCTTTCCACCATTCCCTGCATGAAGCCGTTTAAAATTCATCAGGGACCTCCTGAATGGCAGCTAGTTCTACAGAGTGGCATAAATAAGTTGTTTTTTCTCTTACAGTAAGTGTTCATTGCAGAGCAGAGCAAATCTTCATTAGCATAGCAATTTGCTAGCAATTTGTTGATTTTTTTTTTTTATTGAAAAATGTGCTGAATTGTAGGCTAATTACTGTTCTGGCTTCTCTTCCCTGATTCCCCCAGCCCTGTTTCTAACATCTGCTTCAAGAATACGTGTGAGAGTTATGTCTTGGACCCTGCAAGTAGGGGAAAGCCTTCCAGTGGGACGGGGCTCGCTGGATGGACCTGGTTTGACCAGGTGTGTGGTGTGAAGTGGGGTCTCTTGGCTCATTGGCTGACCCCTTGTATTAAATGGCACAATTATGATGCTAATTGTAATTCCTCACAAGCCACATCCATGCTGCCCTGTTGGATTTTAGCAGTTACTATTCTGCCTCTCCTGGGTGGGAGATAATACCTATGATTCTTAGATTTTTATTCTGGTTCCAGTCTTAAACATTTTTAAAGTTAGTTTTTCAAACGAATGAAAATAGTACACATTTATTGTTTAAAAAAAGCATCCCCTCCCTTTTCCTGTTTCACCCTCGTTTCCATGCCACAGAAATAACATAGCAGGATCCTTCTAGAAGCTTTCTACATCTTTTTGTACTTGGAAATTATTTTTGGTGGCTTAAAACACCACCAGTTTATTATCATGCAGTTCTGTCTACAAGTCCAGCCTGAGTCTCACTGGGCAAAGATCAAGGCATCCGCAGGGCTGCGTTCCTTTCCAGAGCCACTAGGGCAGCAGTTCTCAACCTTCCTAATGCAGCGACCCCTTAATACAGTTCCTCATGTTGTGGTGACCCCCAACCATAAAATTATTTTCGTTGCTACTGTATAACTGTAATTTTGCTACTGTTATGAATCGTCATGTAACTATCTTTTTGTTTTCCGATGGTCTTAGGCGACCCCTGTGAAAGGGTCGTTCGACCCCCAAAGGGGTCGTGACCCACAGGTTGAGAACTGCTGTTCTAGAGGCTGCCTGCACCCCTCGGCTCTTGGACCCTTTCTTCCATCTTCAAAGCCTCAACACTGTATCTGTCTATGACTGTTCTTGTATTGGGAAGTTTTCCACAGAAAATTGGTGAAATCGAGTTTGAGCTCTGTTAAGATTCTTCCTCAGCCCCCCAATACACTAAAAAGGTGCTATATTGAATCGTGTAATTAAGAATGGCTGGCTCTAGAAATTCAAAGAGTGTCTGCAGGCCTCTGTCTCTGCTTCTTGATTCTGCTTGCTTCTGCCTGACTTCACGGAAGTCGTGTGGCCTCCAGCGGTGCTGTCAGCTTAGCAATCCCAAAGGAAACAAGCCATTCCTGATACGTCTCACTGAATAGTTACAGGATGTCGCTGACTGACCAGGCCTAAGTCATATGCCCCACTCAGGAGGAGAGATGGGGTTAGTCCATCCTCAAAACACAAAGAGCGTCTTTATAGGAAAGAAGACTTGGTCGGAAAGGAGACAGGACATTGCGAGATGCGCACACTGAACAGACCATAACAGCTCTATCACAATTACATAAGTACTGTTTTGTTTTTGGTTTAGAGATCGTGCTGTTCATATTCTTCTGTGTTTTCATTTTTTCATTCCACAGCATGCCCTGACTGTCCTTCCATGCCAGCATATCAAGCCGACAGATTCTTTTCCATAACTCTTTGGAGCTCTGTGTTTGGAACTAGCATTAGCTCTTTGGGAGATGGGTGTCAGCATTAAGTATTACACATACTTATCTTCAGAGAGTAGAGCACATCGAATCGTTTTACCATAAATATTTTACAGCAAAATATCTGTATAAAAAAAACAAACTCTCACTGTCAATTATTCGTCCATCTATTTTTAAAGAGTCTATGAAAAGACTTTCTAGTTGATCAAAACATTTTGACAGCCACTTAGAGAAGTAGGTGTCATATTGAGCTTAAGAGTATCCGTGGTACTTTCTTTTCTCCTTGTCATCATCCTACTGTCCATTTGTGGTTTTTTACACAGTATGTGCATGTGTGGTGTTTATAGCATCGTTAATTTATTTTCATGTGAGAAACATGGGAGGGAATTGAGGATTTAAAAAAAGTTAGGCATCTTGTAAGGAAACAGATGATGTGTATCAAAAAGGCCTTAGAATTGTAATTTTGTTTCGTGGCCAGGCACTATAGGTTGCAAACAGAGGAAACAAACCAGGATAGAAACTAATCTTGGCAGGAGCTTAGTCTAGTTTTAGAGCCACTGAATTAAATGTCTGGTATTAGAACTCATCTCTGTGGAGTCCTGAAAAGAAATGAAATAGAGAGTGAGACAGTAATATTCCCTTAACCCAGAAGAGAATTCTCGATGCTAAATTGGGTACCAGAGCACCCACGAGTTCTTAGTTCCCCTCTCCCTCATCTTGTTTACAACACACCAAATCACCCCAAAGCTGCACTGTAGTTTAAATACAGCCTTTTCTGTCTTCCCCATGCTGTATTTCTCCAGAGAACATAAATTAGCATTCAGCCTTTCTTCACAATTTTAAATTTAAATATTATTCTCATCATTTTCCAAAATGACACTAGCTCTGTGAGAAACTTCAGCACTGATCCAGCTGTATGTATGTTGTTGGCTGTTTGTGCACATACCAAGATGGATGAAATTCGGTTAACACCCCTGCTTTTGAAGAGGAACCAGTTCAATCGTAAAGTAAATTAATAATACATTTGAAAAACAGAAATTTTAAAAGTAGCTCAACCATAATTGTTTTGAGGAGATGACAAGAAGAGGAATAGAAGACGAGTGTAAAAATCATTTCAGCCAAGGCTGTCGTGTCAATAGAGACTGTGGGATTTTACAATCAAATTTTAACATTTTTATCCCACCACCTTGCTTTTCCAGGAAAGGATATAAAGTGGATTCCAGGGTGAAATGAATGAGTGAAGGAATAAAGATAAAATGAATCCCAGAAAATAAAATGAAGCCAGGGATAGAGCCAGAACTCAGTGCCATGAAGCAGGCCTGCCTGCAGCAATCAGTTTTATCAGCAGTACGTTGGTCTCTCAGCCAGTGGCCAGGGGAAATCTGTTCATTCAACAGATATTTACTGAGCACATATTATGTGCCAATTACAAGTTCAAAGTTTTAAAATGACAGATTTATAGTATCTATCAAAAAAAACAAAACAGTTGCTCCAGATGAAACACAGTTTCACCTAGAAGATTTTCTCCCATGATTTTTGGTGACGAGATAATGGTGAACATCCCCACATCTAGGTCGAGGTTCCTGAGCGTCCCCTAAGTCAGCGCCATCGATCCATGCGATACAAGGCTGCTGGGGTTCACTAAAGCATGTTTCATCTAAGGCAATTCTCTGAGGAGTTAAAACAACACAGCTTAGGCACATAGCTCTATGCTTATCTGGCGCCTTCCAAGAATAAAATCTAGAGTATTTAGAGGAGGCAGGCAGACTTTCCTGCACAATTCCTTGGATAATCATCCAATTAGTCAGTCTCAGCAATCAGAATAAAAGATGCTGAATCATAGATCAGCTATTTGATCAAGCTGTAATGCAGTTACTTTCTAATAATACAGTCCTTCTGTTTGCTTGTTTGTTTAATGTCTGATTTACAGCTTGCAGATTAAATAAGCCTGAGGATAGAACAGAAGCGGCAGGACTGCTTTCCAGGGTGATGTGGGGTCCTGTTCACCGGCACTGGCTGGAGCAGGACAGACGAGCCACAGACAGCGCTTCAAGAGCAATTCTCTCGTTATTCTAACAATCGAGTGTCAGGCAGGTGAATTTATAACAGAATAAACAACAAACTGAAAAATCGACCGCAGTGGCAAATCTCAGTATAAACAGTCATCAGGATCATCACTTTCCTTCTCAATTAACTATTAATAAAGGCCTTCTTGGGGTCCGCTTCTCTGCGAGGGAGTTCCAGAAGGCTTCAAAGTTAGTGTTAGTCATACATTTTCTCAAAATAGTGTTATAGTTGTTTAGTTGGGATTAGAGGCCACGCCTGGTGGGCCTTCGGTTTCTCGGTGAGAAAGCAGCCCTTTTGCTCCTGTGGATCCTCAGAAGTGTAGGAAAATGTCCTTCTTTCCGAGGCTAGACAGAGGCCTCAAAAACTAACGCGTCCAGAACCTCCCCTCCTTCTAGAATGACTTTGATTCCAAAAGCTGTTGTTTTTACTGAGCTGCTTTTGGTGAATCACACTGCTGCTCGAGTAGCTGTGTCTAATTATGGCTCTTAAAAGCACAGAGCATAGAAATGGAAAGTAAAGAACTCCGAAATTTAGAGGAACAGTGGTTTTTCCAAACCCGTTGATTAACCCTGTGCTATAAGTAGGGCCTGGAGTGCTAATTGTTCATAATTTTCACCTTAATGTAAATGATCATTAAAATTACCTTGCCTTAAAAAAAATAAAAAGTAAAACCATGGTGTTCCTGATTCACATGTGCTTAGCTAATTCTCAACCTAGTAAAATGAGATGGTAATTTCAGTCCAACACAGGTAACCTGGAATTCTTGCCAGGGACACTGAAGTTTTGATTGCTGTTTTGTGAGAAAGAAATGAAAGGTGAATGGGTACAGAGAGACCTTTATAAGGTAGTTCCGCTGCCATGCCTTTGTCCATGGGCTGAAAATACATAAACCCTGATGCAAAGAAGCCTGCTGCCCTTGAGAAAGTTACATATATAGCAGGTACTTAAAATGACTGTAGTGCTTACAGAATTGAGTTGCCTGCCAGATTCTAAGTATCTTGAGAAACCTGGTTTGTTCCTGTATCCCCATCACAGAGTAACTTTGTTTTGTTTCAAGTTATTTTGATGTGAGCTTGGTGAGCTCTAGTATGTTAGGAGGCAGAGACTAGTTTAAATTACTTTCATTGATGGGCCTTTTTTTTTGTAAGAATATTCAGGAAGGTAAGGAAGATAGGAAACAGTCTCAGCTGATACACAGCCAGACTTCATGGAGGTCTGGAATGACATTCAGTAATATTACAGAAGTTCAAGCTGTGTCTGTTGTCTGTTTTTATTTATCATTTTATTCCCAGCACCAGTGCTTGTCACATAGGAAATACTTAAGTATTGTGAGTGAATGAATTTCAGACACTAAGCTGTACTGTATATCTGTTCTCTTTCTACTATATTCCCCGCTAATGATCTGTCAACAACATGTCTTCGATTTACCTAAAGCCTTTGCTGCCTCATGGCTTCTGCTGCTTCCCTTCTCTCTGTATATCTTTTCTTTTTTTATGCCATCACCTTGTGTGCAGATTGTATGTCTCTTCATTCAAACTCCCAAAGAGAGAAGTTCTGATTGGATAGACAGGTCACTGTCCAGTATGGAGCACTCTCTCCGAGCATAATAATCAGGTGTCCATGGGTGCCTTTGTTCAGGGTCTAGTCTTGGTCGAGTTACCTGTGGTCGCTATCAAGGTCACAGGTATAAAGTATGGTCTTGCTCATAAGAGGAATGTGGTTAGGTCAGATGTTTAAAATATCATGCCCACAATCATAAATTAGAGTCTGATTGGTATTCAGTCATGTTCTAGGTCAGATTCTAAGCAATGGGAGAAGACCATAGCAGGCTAGTTCGTTGTTCTATTCCCGGAACTTGGCACCGAGTTTGGTACATAGTCGACCCTGGAAAAATACTGGCTGAATGAAGGCTGATGACAGGAAATTCTTTGATCTTCGAAGTATCAGGCCCAGTGGGAAAGGTTAATGAGTAAGGCAAACATACTTGAACAGTTCTTATCTTCCGAAGTGAATCATTGCAGTCAATGGCAAACCACGTAAAGCTTCTAATTAGAGAAAGCTCAGTTCCAAAAAGACTCCATCCTACTTCACTTTTGCATGATGTTGGAAAGCAGTGAATAATACAGACCTTCTAATTAGTAAGTGGATTTTGTCATGACAATGGGGGAGTTGCCCTAGGGCTCCAAATCCCAGAGCTCTTTTTTTTCCCCCATGGAATTGTCATCATCCTAAAAGTCATTATACCATTCCTTTAGAAGAGAAACTGTTCCTGGGATTTGTTAAATGGGCTGTAACATATTGGTATGTTTAAACCGAGTTGGAAATCTAATTGGGAAATTTTCCAGATTAAAAAAACAACAAAGGAAATTCCTATGGATTATGTTCTTTGATTTCTCCTCCCCTTGCCACCGTCATACATTCAATCACTACCACTATCACCGCCAGTGTCAAGGGTGGCTTCTTTCTCATTGCCAACTATTTTGGACTCAACATAAGAATTATAGTTAAGAAGAATTTGCTTGGTCTTATGAAGGTCTGGCTCAAGTTCTTTGTGGCCCCAGATTTGGGACTTACCATTTGATGAGTACAGTGGTACCGGGTCCCTGCTCCTCTGCTGTGTACTGATTAGGGTCTCAGTTAACATTTCTTGACTTGAATTACTAATGTGAATTAATAAGGCCAGTGTTGCTGGTCATTGAACGTGATTCAGTTGCATTGTCACAGACATCATCCTGAAACTGGGAAAACTAACAAATGTTTGCCTTCTTGACTCCAGGTGGATAGGGAAAGAAAATGGGGATAATAGGGAGGATTCACACAAATTCATAACTAAGTGGAAAATATTAGGCCGTCGGGTTTTTTTCTATAATAGTAACGTTGGGATGCTTTGTTGGTTGAATGTCAGTGTTACAGTCACACAAACTTGAGTTAGAACCTGGGTCTGCCACTTACCAGTGTGACTTTAGGCAGGTTACTTAACCTTTATGTAAGCCTCAGTGTCCCACCTGTAAAATGGAGGAAACAGGAGCACCTGTTTGTTTCTTGGAGGGTAGTAACAGGGTTTAAATAGATGATGCATTTGGGAGCTCTTGCCATAGGGCCGGGCACAAAGTGAGCACTCAATAACTTTAGCTGGGCTTGTTATCATTGCTGTTATTGTCAAGAGTGTTGTTTCAAAAAAAGTAATTTTTTTTTACAACATAAGATGATGTCAATTAATTCCGTGTAAATGGAATAAGCTTTTTTTCCCCAGTAATAGAAACTCAGCAATATAATTTTTTTTTTTTTTAAGATTTTTATTGAGGAATTGGGATTGGAACAGTGCTGGGGAATTGCGGGAAGGGGAACAGATAAGTTGCTGTCGTTTTGTTCTTCAGTCTAGTTGTGGAGGACGTTGCTTCACTGGCCCAAGTTGGCACCATCATTGCGCTCTTCTCAGGCGAGGCAGATCAGTTGCCGGCTTCTGGACGGCTGCTCACTGCAGCTGCTGGCCTCTCACGCTGGCTGCTGGCTACACACAGTAGCCCATGGCAACACACTGCCACAGGGGCTGCAGCCTACGCCTTCGCCGGCAACTCAGGGCAGCCCAGCTCCAGGTTGAGCTGTTGTTCAGCATCTTAGCTGTGGAGGGCAGTGTCACTGGCCCTCATATGTGGGATCCAAACCAGGGCCCTCTGGCGTCCCAAGCCAGTTCTTAACCATCGCGCCACTCGGCCGGCCCTCAGCAATATAATTTAAGTAATGTAGTTTCATACACCAGCAATTAGGAGAGGAGGAGATACACTTTGCCTTTGTAATGTACAAACTGACCCCAGACAAGCTTACGGGTTCTGTTTCTCTAACCAGAGGGAAAGAAGAGTATCGTGATCTGTAAGTTCAAGATCTTTTCTGCAAAATAATTTCTGAAATTTATTAACACATTTTTAGGGAAGTACTCGATAGATCACATATAGGAAGAATTGACTGACTATTGTTTTGTGGAGGGACTTCTGGTGATGGCTTTTTAACCAGTTCTACAAACATGATTATGAAATGCTCCTGATGAAGTGCCCTGATACCTAAGAGACACTGATGCATTCTCTGATTTCTCCCTTGTGGTCATGTAGGTGAGACGGGCATCGGCAAATCCACGTTAATGGACACTTTATTCAACACCAAATTTGAAAGTGACCCAGCTACTCACAATGAGCCAGGTGTCCGGTTAAAAGCCAGAAGTTATGAGCTGCAGGAAAGCAATGTCCGGCTGAAGTTAACCATCGTGGACACGGTGGGATTTGGAGATCAGATCAATAAAGATGACAGGTATGTCTTGAGATTCTGAGGGGATGTCAATGGACGAAGTGATAACAGGACCCATCCCTGGTAAATTCAAAGGCTAAGTGTTCACTGGTTATGGGGCTTGGTCCAACTCTGTCGCCTAAAAGATGAGACATTCTTGTTCTCTGAGAAATGGTCTTCCGGTTGGAATCAGCTAGTGTAATTGACTCCAGCTAGTGTAAGCAGAAAAGGAACTTGTTAGAAGGAATTAGCTAACCGATGGCGTTTTTCCAGGATGGCTATGGAACTGGGTTTGGGGCTTTCCCATCAGGAAAATCAATCTAGAGAAACATACCCTACCCCCCACCGCCACACACAGGACAGTTAGCAGAAACCCCTGCCACCAACCACCTTATATAGTTTTGGTACCCGTGACCCTGGGGGCAGGTCTCTAGAACCCCCACCAGATCTGTCCTAGATAACTAACTGCCTTCACCACGGCTTGCAAGAAGGAGAGCCCTTTTCCCTGTGTGGCGTCTGCCTTATGTTGTTCCTAAAACCCCAAAGCGAAGAAAACATTTTTATGAAAGATCTGTTGTAAAAATATTAGTTAATTTCTGGCTATTTTAAATATTACATGCATTCTTTTTTTTAAAAGATTTTATTGGTGAATTGGGGGAGGGGAACAGCATTGGGGGATCAGGGAAGGGGAACAGACAAGTTGTTTTTTTGTTCTTCAGTCTAGTTGTGGAGGACACTGCTTCACTGGCCCATGTTGGTATTATCATTGCGCTCTTCCCGGCTGAGGCAGATCGGTCGCCGGCCTCTGGATGGCCGCTCACAGTGGCTCTTGGCAGCTCACGCCAGCTGCTGGCCGCTCACGCTGGCTGCCAGCCACTCACTGTAGTTTATGGCAGCCCACTGCAACTTCACTGCAACCTACGCTGTCGCCGGTGACTCACAACAGCCCAGCTCCAGGTTGAGCTGTTGTTCACCATCTTAGCTGTAGAGGGAAGTGCCACTGGCCCTCATATGGGATCTGAACCAGGGCCCTGCTGCTCAGAGCTTGGCGTCCCAAACCAGCTCTTAACCAATGCACCACTCAGCCGGCCCTTACATTCATTCTTAAAAGAAGTTTGATAAAGTTAAAATAAAACTACCCCAGGCCCAAAGATGATTCCAGAAAGGAGCTTCCAGATAGTTTTGAGCAGTGACAGCAGTGTGAGAATAAAGCACCAAGTCAATAAAATGATGGTGTTTGATTAGTGTTCAGAAATGTCATTAGTACCAGGGTTTTTTTGTTTTTTTTTTTCATTTGCCTCAAAACTGTGTATATTATATGCCTGTGTTTTATAAAGAGGAGCTTGAACTATTTTTATCTAGAAATGTGTATTGCCTATATATATGTTTTAACTATCCCTGATATATATGAGCACCATCATAATGACAGAGAAATACTTAATTCATTATGTAGCTGAGCACTGAGCTCTGTTTTATCTATAGAGCAATTTAAATGCTCTTTAATAAACATTGTCCTGTAATAACAGGAGCAATTGTTAGATCTAGGGAGAAAGATTTTATTTTGCATCTGGTCAAAATGGACTATCTGTACATTGTGTTGGGGTGAGGGACAGCTGAGCTCAGACCCTGCAGCTGAGCAGTTGCTCTTAATTTCTGACCTCATTGCCAAGGAATGATGGAGAGGCTGTTGGTAATGCCAAGTAGAGTGGATGAAGAGAAAACCCTGGTGATAAGAAAAAGAGCACAGGTGCATTGTGGGACACTGGGAGAGAGCTGGGGGCTCCGTCATTGCCTGATCACAGTACACACTCGGGGCAAGATGTGTCTCCATCTCTCCGACCCGCACAGGTTTCTCCCTGGGGTTATAGAACGTCATGCTTATGTACTCCATGATTGGAGGGCAGCAACTGGACCTTTTACGATTTCCTCCAGGAACGAGAACCATCTCCCAGCATCTTGCCTCTCAGATTCCATGTGCCGTTGCAGCTCAGCGTCATTGCCTGAGTACTGCCACTGACTTCTTGCCTCTCCCCTATAGGGGATTTTCCCGCAGGCTGATGCGTTTGCACTCGCCAGCATGGAACAGAAAGTGGCTAGTACAATGCTGAGCTTCGTACTTGCAGCTGGAGGCTTCTTTAAGAAACTATCTGACTCATTTGGGTCAGATAATAGTTTCCAAGGAGATTTAGAAGAGAGGAAGCGTGATACTAACCTAACCTAGATACCAAATTTTTTTTTTCTTCTTCTGAAATGTCTTGACAGCTGTTGCATAACCTCTTAAAATGGCATTGAGAACTCTGTGCCCCAGAAGGCATTAGTGACACTATTGACTATAAACCCAAAGGACTATGGTTTAAAATAGTTGTTCACATAGGCCCTGCGTCCATCAAAAAATTGGAAGTGGGATATGCATTTTTGCATTGGTATGTAACCATATGGGAAAGGATGTGCTGTTTCTCTAAACCCATGATTATTTTACTACTTTGGGGATTAGGCAAGCATTTGTGCCATTGATGCAAGACTTGAAGAATGTCCCCATTTGTTTATGTAGGCTTTGGACATGTCAGCATTCCTACATCATTATCTGCCTTGGACCAGGCTAGCTAGAAGGAGGCAGGAAGAGAGATCTAGTAAGGCTTCCTGTTATGTTTAACAGCATGATTAACTCTTTGTGGTTTAAGGACTTCCTTGTTTAACTCTCTGTACTCTTCAGTGAAGAAAGAAAGAGGTCTGCAAAAGAAGGGAAACTCAGTTTTACAGTAGAACTGGAAATCGAAGAAGTAGTTAGCCCTCCACTTGGGAGACAGGAGTTAGACTGTCAGTGGCATATTACTAACTAACAGGATAATCAGCCCTGAAAAAGCGTGGGTGATTGAAATCCACTGAGAGAGAGCCCTCCAACTCACCAGATCTTCATCAGAGTTATAAAAATGGAATTGAAGGGGACCGTTTTGTCTTTAAATTATAAAGCTTTTTCACGCTTTCTGGTAGAGGTAGTTGAGGGATAAGGAAAATTGACTTTGGCTAACAGCAATATAGAGAAGACATGGTAGGCGTCTGGTCATATTTAAAATGGAGAGTCAGTCCCTGAAGGATGGCATTGGCTATTTTGCAAAAATGATCAGAGGGTAGCTTGGGTAGATAGAAAACATTGTATAAAATATTTTTCCATCAGTCATTTTATTGTGTGTTGTTGTTACTGTTGTTTTAATGGCTGGAGGTATATGAAAAAATGAGTTGTGGGTAAAAGGGAATATTCTCATGCTTTAAAAAGAAATGATGTGAAAATGTGAGGGCTAGATATTATCCATTCCCCCACACACACACACACACACCCCAATTTATATGGCTACAACTCAGAGACAATTGAATTGGCTAAACAGAATATAAATAGGTGTCCTTTTTTGTAAGAATGGAAACTAGCAAAAGGCAAAATAGGGATTAAGTATCCTTATCTTTATGCCTGTGGATATAGATAACAAGAAGTGGAAAGGAGAAGGAATGAGGGGCAGAGAATTTGTTTGAAAGATTATGAAAGGGAGTACAAAGCCACTTGCTTGGCTTGTTATGCATCAAAAGGAAACTGTTTATCTCAGCAACATAATTCAATCTTCCACATAGGCAATAGTGATTTTGGTGAAGAGTTCTGGTGGAATACATTTTTTTATTAGTGTATAATAATACACGAAATGGATGGGATTTCACATGTGGGAGGTAGGAGGGGAGGGAGATGTCTGGGTTGAATCCCAGGTTTCTTTCTTGGCCCGCGGTGTGGATGGAGGTGCCGTTCACTGTGCTGAGGAATACGGAGATGTGTGGGTTTGGGGGCAAGACGAAGAGTTTGATTTTGGACACTTTTAGTTAGAAGAGCAAGTGGAAATAGCTGGTGAGCAGTTGGATGGAGGGATCTGAAGCTCGGATAAAGGAAGTAGAGATCTGTGAATCATCATCAGGTAGATGGCAAGTGAAACACAGGAATAAATGTGATTTTTTTTCAGGGAGACCATATAGAGGGCAAAGGAGGAGATCAAAAGATTGGCCAGGACTTGGTAACAGGAAGGCAGGAGGGAGGCCTGAGATGTAAGAGTAGAACTGTAGGTTTCTTTGGATATGTTGAACCCAGGGCAGAAAGCATTCCTCACTGGAGAGAGATGTTCTACCTCTTATAATCTTGGAGGGTCAGAATCAAAACCAGAAGCTAAAAGGGAAATTAATAGAAAGCGGAACATTCTTGGACTACTGCTGGGAAGGAGGTGCTGAGAAGCTAAAAATCAGGAACTGGGGAGGCAGAAAGGAACAACTGCTTGTGAGCTGCTTTTCTTCTCCTTGGGGCTAAGAGGGTTCTCGGGGAGGATGCTAATTCTCAAAACATAACGATTCCGGTGTCAGGAGAAGGAAGGATCATACTGGACTTCGTTGGAGTCCACTTCCCTACCTGGTGTGAGCTCAGGAGCAGAACAGTTGCCATGGAATTGGGTGAGTTTAAAATTCCCCTTTTTGTTGTTTTCTTCCTGTCTTTTAAAAAGTCAGGATTGCTTATCTCTTATGTGTTGTTTATTATATTATATATTACTTTTATTTTCTAGGCCTTTACATATATTAGCTCACCTATTTGTCACAATAGCTCTCTGATATAGGTACTATTTTTGTTCTTGATTTGCCTATGAGGAAACTGAGACCAGAATGGTTTAGTAACTTGTCCAAAGTCACACAGCTAGTAAGTTGAAGAGCTAGATTTTGGTCTTAGGAAGTCTAGCTTGAATCTATGCTTCTAACCACCATCCTATATAACTATCCTATAATAATAATTATTATTATTATTACTGTTGTTATATAATGCCTGCCTATATTTTTAAATGGGGAAACATAGAAGAATCTTATCACTTTCTCATCCTTTTCATTGGAATTTTGCTTGTCATGACTTAGAACTTTATTATTGCTGAGGTACATTGTACTTTTTCTTTAAACCTCTAGAGATTTTGTCTGCTTAAAGTGAATCAGTGGTTTGTCATAAATTACCAAGGAAAAATATCAAAAAGCTTTTATCTGAGTTTTGGTTTTAGTCATAAATATGTTTTTTTTGTTTTGTTTCTGTTTTGCTTTATTTTGATTTTGGTTTTTTGTTAGTTTTTTCTCCTATAGTGTCTGCTGTCGTCCTCCTTATAAAAAATTTGTAGTTCCCTTTCAAAGATTTTAGTTAATTTATGGGCTTGGGAGTTGAGTATTGGAAGGTTTTTTGGTTTTTTTTTCCTTAAAAGATTTTTTTATTGGGGAATTGGGGGAGGGGAACAGCGCTGGGGAATCAGGGAAGGGAACAGGCAAGTTGCTGTCCTTTTGTTCTTTAGTTGTGGAGGATGTTGCTTCACTGGCCCATGTTGGTATTATCATTGCACTCTTCCCGGATGAGGCAGTCGCTTGATGGCCATTGGACAGCTGCTCACACTGGCTGCCAGCCACTCACGGTAGCTTACAGCAGCCCATTGCAGTTCCACTGCAGCTTATGCCGTCGCTGGCGACTCACGGCAGCCCAGCTCCAGGTCGAGCTGTTGTTCACCATCTTAGCTGTAGAGGGCACAGCATCACTGGCCCTCATGTGGGATCCGAACCGGGGCCCTGCCACTCAGAGCTGGTGTCCTAATCCAACTCCCAACCAACGTGACACTAGGCCACCCCGGCTTTTGTTTTTCTTAAAGCTTAAATCATTCCTCAGCAAGGTAGTAAGTTTGGGGAGAATTAACCCATTGTATTCCTAATAGACCAATCTCATTGCTGCTGACACTAACTTCTCTTGAGCTGTCACCTTGGAGACCTGAAAGAGTTCATGCCTTTTTCACAGTGACTTAATGTATTTAACCTCCAGAGAATATATGTTTTATTGAATATGTATTCCCAATATGCTTCTAATGATTGTGCTGATGGTCAGTTAATAGAATCATGCATACTTATCCAAAACAGATTTGAACTATGATTTAGTGAGAAGAGAGGATTATAAAGTTGACCTTCAAATCATAAAATTTTAGCATTGGAAAGACTCTTGAGGATCATAATGGGCTAGGCACTTCAGATTATAGCTGAAGTTATGGGGGGGGGGTTGTTCATTGGGCACAGAGAACCCTCAACTGCCCGGAGGAGTGGGGTAAGGGACAAGGGAAGAGCTCCCAGCAGGAGGTGATGCCATATTCTGAAATCACAAACCAGTTTCATTTTGGTCACCGATGCCCATCAGTTGGTAGAAGCTGTCAAAATCACTTCTTGGGGACACATTTTGAGGCTCAGTTTTGGCCCAACAGGAAAGAATGCCGCAGATATTTGATAATATTTTCATGGGTGCCATGGGGGAAGTGACAGCGTGCTCCACGTGTTTATAATCTCTGTGTTAAAGGAAGAATGTTAGCCAGGAGAATTATGGGAAGAGGACTGCCCCGCGTCAAGGGGCCAGCGTGAGCTAAGGCATGGAGGCAGAGCTTGTTGTGCATGGCTGGGATGGAAAGGGAGGGTGAGCCAGGGGCGTGGGAGAGAGCAGCCTGGAGAGATGTTCTGAGACCTGAGGATGGAAGGTCTGGGATGCCAAGGGACTTGGGCTTTAGCTCTTAGGGAAGAGGGAACCAGGGAAGGTTTTCCTGGAGGACGGTACCATGCTGAACTGAGAAAGAGGTTTGAGACTAGAAATATGCTGACTTGAAAATGTGTTTCAGAAAACGTTCTTCTGCATTCTAGCTATAAGCCGATAGTGGAATATATCGATGCCCAATTTGAGGCCTACTTGCAAGAGGAATTGAAGATCAAACGTTCTCTCTTCAACTACCACGACACCAGGATCCATGCGTGCCTCTACTTCATTGCGCCTACTGGACATTCACTGAAGTCTCTGGACCTGGTCACCATGAAAAAGCTGGACAGTAAGGTACTCGCTGCCACTCTGGTTACCCTGCACTCTCCTTTTTGAACCCCTTTATCCAAAGGCCCCAGTTTATTCTCTGCTTTCAATGTAATTTTGTCTTGTTTTGTTTTAAAGACTATTCTTAAGAGCAGTATTAGAGTCACAGCAAAATTAAGAGGAAGGTACAGAGAGTTCCCATGTATCCCCTGCCCCCACACATGTGTAGCCTCCCCAGTTACCAACATCCCCACCCGAGTAGTATGTTTGTTAGAATTGATGAACCTACATTGACACGTTGTAATCACCCCAAGTCCACAGTTTACATTAGGAAACTGGGCTCACTCTTGGTGGTGTACATTCTGTGGGTTTGAATAAATATGTAGTGACATGTATCCATCATAGTATCATACAGAGTGTTTTCACTGCCCTAAAAGTCCTGTCTGCTCTGCCTGTTCATCCCTCTCCCCCCTCCTCCCAACCCTGTAATTTGTGTTTTCTGGCTTACAGAACCATAGGGTTTAGCAATGTAAGAAAAATGCTTTAAAACCTCTCTGGATGTTAGGCAGAAACAAAACAAAACAAACAAACAAACAAGACCATACAGCTTTGTTCCAAAGTATTTTTATTTCTTAAATTAGCATCAGTGTATGCTCTGAAGAGGGCTAGGGAATTATATAGTGGAGACACCGAAACGGTCATAGGAAGGGTTAAATTTAGGGAGACTGAAACGAAAAGTCATGATTTGTTTATCTTAAAAATTAAAAACCTTTTTCTAAATCTCTTAAACTGTTTGGCTTTAATTTGAAGTTTAGAGTGAAAAAACGTTCATTTTTTCTCTCTGTGACAAGGATGGCCCAGCTTCTTAGATTTTACTGTACCCCTGTGTTCAAAGGCAGTAAAACCTCACTTTCAGTTTGACCCCTGAGCTTTCCACATTGATAACCTCTCCCTTTTACCACATTGGAAGGAAGGGACTGATAACTTGGATCACATTAGGCGATCTACTTTACAATTAATATGATTTTCCATTTTGAGATAAATGGAAGACAATACGTTCTGAAATAACGCAGCCGCAAATAGCAATGAGAACAACCACAAAACGAAGCTATGGTATTTTCTCCTCGATTCTAACCTCCTCTCGAGTTCAAGACTTATCATCCCTTCGAGGGCTTTGTGAGGCGTTGCTTTTTGTCCATACAGCACTGTTTAAAAGATGCTTTCTCTCCAGAGGGACATAACAGTGAGAGAACACTGAGAAGACCAGCCTGTCCCCCGAGGCCTCTGTCTGCACTGGCCCACAAAGTGCCTGCAGTGGGGTAATCCGGGCCAGGCTTCCTGGGCTGCTAGCTCTGGTTTAGAGAAAAATCCTCTCAAGAGCCTGAAAGGATTATTGCAGCTAGAGTACTGCTGGGAGAATACAAAGAGACCCTTCTTCATCGCATTTGATTCAGCTGCAGTTAGCCATCTGTGGTGGGGGTTTCCTGGGCAGTAAGGCCCATTCTCTGTGCTGTAGTGTCCTTGAAAGCAGAGCTGGGGACAGGTGGAGAGGGAGGTGGCTTCCTCACGGAGGCCAAGTGTATAGACCAAACCCAGCTGATAGCCAACATAGGATTCTGTTTAGTAGAGTTGATTTAAAAAGGAAAAGAAAATAAGGCAAAACAAACCTAGCTTTAAAAAAGGAAACAATCACCGCAAAGCAGGTTAAACTGCTTTCAAAGAACTGATTTTGTCTTAGAGTTAGTGTTAGGTCGCATCTAAACACGGCGCTGTCAAAGGTTTGTTTATACAAATGCAGTGAAGAGTTAAGGCAAACATAATGATCATTTCAGAAAAGATTTGCGAGTACTGCCACTGAGGAAAAATAGACTTTAAATCTTAATTGCCTGGTTTGTCTAGGACTCTGGTCAAACTGGCCAAGAAACTATGACCCCCCTGCCATTTTGTCTGTGTGAATAGTAACTGGATACTGAATGTGTAGAAAAGGTAGCCGATGTGAATAACTGGGAAGTTTTTTGTTCCTCAGGTTCTGATCCAGACCTTTCCCCCCACCATCAATGATGTGTTTTCAGTTTGCCACTTGCTGGAGGAAAAGCAAGCGTGAGGAGATTAGGAGTTGGTCAAGGAATGGATTTTTTTGTCAGCATGTCATCTCATTCTGGTTTATCAGGGATTTTTGATTTGGCTCTTGGGATAAAAGGAGAAGCAAAGGAATGCAGACGTGACCTGGAAACCTCCCTAAAGACCTCTCTTTAGCTAAGACTCCTTTCTCACTGAGTTGTTCTCTTTTCACCTGAGCTGGGTGGAGAGCGTGGTCCCAGGTATCGGATGTCAGTAGCATCTTATTGAAACCTCTGTACCTACTAGGGAGTGTAAGAAAGTTGATCTGTTTTTTTGAAAGTTGATCTTAAAAATGAATTTAAAAAAATGTGCCCCATGGACCATGCTGACAGAAGCTGGGAGAAGAATGTCCCACCTTGGGATCTGTGGCTTGCACTGGAGGACACCCTTGGCTCTTCTCCGGGGCTTTCTGCCATTGTTATCAAACTCTGAGGGCTGCCTGGTCTTTGTAGCCGATGCTCTGAAAGTGAGCCTGGCCTTTGGCATGCGGTCTCATTCTGGCATGAAGGAGTAATGTGATAGAAGCTGACTTTCAAAAGAATTAGTTGGTGTGATTGTGAAAAATTAGAAAGTAGGTGAAACCATTTTTGTTTTGGTGAATACTTAGGTTCTCCACTTCTAGCAGTTGTCAGGTTATCAGAAGAAAGCAGGGATATTATCCTGTGTAAAGCTGAATATTCTACTATTCCAACTGACAAAAACTTTGTTATTACAATGTTTGGAGCATGCAAAAATCACAATCCTAAAGTAGCTGGGAGGGGCCTAGAAGGAGTGGTTGGTTATTCAAAGAATAGTCTTCTTTGTTATCGCTATTTGTCATAGAGTAACACTTCCTTTTACCCTGAAAAGAAAAATGAGGTAGCACAGGAGAGGAAATTACAAGTATGCTTTCAGTGCCAGATGGGAGGCAGTAAAAGTGTTCACAGATGGAACTAAAAGATTATCCCATGTCTTTTAATTCTGTATCTAGGTAGAAAGTCCTATTTTAAATATCGTCTCTGTTTTTAAGTGAAGTTTTACCACTGGTATTAGTCTATTTGCTACATTTTATTCATTTGCCTAATTCTTTTTCTTGATGTCAGAATTGTGTAAAAATGGATGTGTTTGTTTTGTAGGTGAACATCATTCCAATAATTGCAAAAGCGGACACTATCGCCAAGAACGAGTTGCACAAATTCAAGAGTAAGATCATGAGTGAACTAGTCAGCAATGGAGTCCAGATATATCAGTTCCCCACAGATGAAGAAACAGTGGCAGAGATTAACGCAACAATGAGCGTAAGTCGTCAAGTAAGAAAGGACCAACCAGTGATTCCCTGAAGCTTTTGTTAGTAGCAGCATTGTTGAGTGGTTAGAACACTGGACGGGGATTCTGATGTCTTCAGTGTCGTCTGGCTCTGCCACTATTTCAAGCCTTTTAACCACCCTGGTGCTCAGTTTTCCCACCTATCATATGGGAGAGTTAGACAAGATGATCTCAAAGTCCCTTCCCACTCTAACAATTAGGAATTTCTATAGCAAATCTTGTGGGACGGGAAAGCCAGCCCAGCACCTTTTCACACAAAGCAGCTTTAAAGGAATTAGATCTCTGCTTCTGCCAGCGTTGGCAGAAATATGTCTACCTGCCTCACTTTTGCTTCAGCGATTGGTTCCTGCCTTGCCCCTTTTTTTTATTTTCCCCATCCTTTCCTGAATCATTAGGTAAAAACTGGCAGTTGAGGGTACCATTTCCAATTCACAGGCAGGAACTGGTCAGGAGATAAATGATTAAAGCTTCAGCAGACTAAGCGTGCCTGTGATAGAATCTCTCCTGGTCAGCCTCCATTTTGCCAGTTGATCCGCATCGTCCCCACCGGTCCTTTTTGTATCTCAGAGCCATGGCTCTTCTCTGGGGCACAATAACTACATATCTTGTTTCATTTGGGAATGCATAACTTCCGTAAACACAGTGTTCTTTGCCCATAGTTGATGCCCAGTGATGGTTTTTTGAAATTCCTAAAATTGTAAGTGAGCTTCAGTGAAATGTAATTAGAAGTTATTAAAGAGCTTGACCTTACCTGAATAATTCTGATTCAGAAGGGTGCTAGTGGAAATCAGTCTAAATTTTTAAATTTATGGTAGGTTGAGGTATGTTCTACTTTTTTGTTAGAAGATCTGATCATGAAAAGTTGTGTCTAATAAGCCATTGTTAAATGCACTATTGGCACTTCTTAAAAATAAACAGCTTTCTTGAGATACGATCGCTATAGTGACAATTTAGTGGTTTCTAGTATTAATATATTCACAAAGTTGTACAACCATTGTCACAATCAACTTTAGAACATTTTTATCATCCCCAAAAGAAACAATGTACCTGTTAGTTGTTAATTCTCAAACCATCCCAGCCATAGGCAACCGCTAATCTTTCTTATTTGTAGATTTGCCAGTTCTGGACATTTCATATAAAGGGAGTCATACTGAGGTTTATCTACAGAATTAAATGAGTTGGTCAAAGCCTTCTAGTTAGGAGCAGCACTGAGATTTTAACCCAGTCCACCTGGTCCCCAATCTTTTTGTTGTTTGCCATCTAAATTTAGGAGATCAGAGTTACTCCACAGAACTGCTTCTGGTTTTTTCAGTCCAGTATATGGACTTTGCTGTATAGGCTCTTTTCATTTAGGGAGGATTTCTTCCCTAAATTAATCCCAATATGACTAGGTCTTGGAAAGCAAATGTAACTTTCCCCCTCTCTGGAGCTGTTACTGTATGAATTTAACATTTAGGGATGTCATTAATGCAGAGATAGTCCTACTCCATGCTGCCCTGGTCAGGACACACTCTGAGCTGAGTGACCCAGTCTAGCTGTCATCCTCCTGTGGCCGGGACAGTAAACTGGAAGAAACTGAAGAGCAGATTCTTCCTGGGAAACAGGCATGAGGGGGTGTGAAAGGAAGGTTGCCATAAGGGACAGTGATGGGACTTATTCAAAAGACAAAATGAAAACTAACGGGTAAAAGAGCAGTGGGGGGTTTTGGCCCAGTAAAGTTTGACTGTTGGCTCTACCACCACAGTGCAACGAACCTCTTACTGAAGTAGGGACTTCCCATCACAGGTGATGGGAAGAATGCTGTTTCAGCTCCCTTAGGAGAGATACCGTGGAGGGATTCCTTATATAGGACTGAACTGGATAATACCGTGTTTCCCCGAAAATAAAACCTAAGTGGAAAATGAGCCCTAGGATGATTTTCAGGGTGCTTGTAATATAAGCCCTACTCCAAACATAAACCCCAGTTAAGATCATCAGCCAGACGTGACTGTTTGAATAAATGTAAATTTTTGTACATGAATAAATGTAGATTGTTGGAGCAAAAATTAATATAAGACCCGGTCTTATTTTCGGGAAAACACAGTATGTAAGGTGGGTTTTTCTCTAGGGACTCTGTCCGGTTTCCCCTCATATGCCACAGATGTGCACAGAGGCGAATCGGCATGTCCGATTGTCCTAGTCTGAGTGTGGGTGTGGGTGTGATGCGTCCTGTGATGGAAGGGTGTCCTGTCCAGGGTGGGGTCCCGCCTGGCGCTCTGAACTGCGGGGAGTGGCTCTGGCCATGCTCGACCGTGAACTGGAATCATCTGGTTAGAAAATAATGATCTTAACTTGTATTAACCTTTCTTCAATGTATGTATAGCTCAAATGTCTTTCCATGTTTAATATTAGAAGTGTTTGGGGTCTTGAGAAATTTGGTGATGTTTTTGTGACCAGAACTATATCATAGGAACTTAACTCTTGTTTATATCGATGAGGCTATAGTAAAATGATTTCGTTCTATCGTTGTTTCACTTAGAGGTGCAGTTTCCTGGAACCTGTCATTGATGTTAAGTGAGGACTGACTCACGGTACTCTCTGCCCTTGTTTCTTGGCAGGTCCACCTGCCCTTTGCAGTAGTCGGCAGCACTGAAGAGGTGAAGATTGGCAACAAGATGGCGAAGGCCAGGCAGTACCCTTGGGGTGTGGTGCAGGGTATGTGCGCATCTTGGGGAAGGAATTGGATTCTTCACCTTGAACCCCCGTGGTGACGAGCCACGTTTTCTCCCTCTGCACCATGTTTGGGGAGGTCCTCAGCTGTGGGCAGGTGGAAGGGAGCAGCGGGGTTGTACATCTGACAGTCATGGAGGTGAGGAAGAAACGGCGAGTAGGTAGGTACACAAAGGAAAGCAGTGGTTGCAAAGCCCTAGTGCCAGCGAGGCAGCCCCTCAAGACTGTTGGCCTGTGTGGGAAATTCAGTATAAATTCCTGATAGAAAAGAGTTCTTCCCTAGGAGCCTGAACCTGTTTCATCAGCAGAGTCTAAGAAAGCTGAAAAGAGTTTCTTGCAAATAAGAGGATACGTTTCTCCAGTATCTCTTGAAAATGTGTTTTCCAGTTAAATGTTATCTCAGCTAATAGCTGAGAATTAGGAGGCTATCTGACCTATGTGTAGCACTGGGGGACATGACCGCAGTCTCTAACCTGAGAAGCTTTCCCTGTGCCACTTTGATGAGCACGGGCTCTATTACCTGCCCTCTCGCGTTCCGAAGGAGGATGTCCAATGCTGTAGATTAAGTAGGATGGATACAGAAAATGCCTTCATTGGTTTGAGATATGTCAGTCCTTCTTTTCCTGTGTTCTGAAGAAAGGCATTCAATCTGTGAGAAGTGAGAAGAAGCAGTACTTTTGAGATGCCTGGGAAAGTTATCATTTTTATGAATCTTACCAATTTCTCTACAACAAGAAGATTTTCTTCATAGTGTTGTTGATAACATTGAAGGCGGTGGTGTATAAGAACTGCCTTGCACAGACAGCTCCAGACAGTAGAAGCAGGCCTGGCTTTGGAGCCAGATGTCACCATGTATGAATATAGCCTCTGCTACATATGTGTGAGCACAGCCATGATTCTGCATGTACAGAGCAGGAGTCACAAGGCCTGCTTGGCAGATTACCATGATGGCTAGAGACAGTGTTAGGGGAACATCTCCCACAGTACCCTGCTCTGAGCAGGTAGTCGGCAGCATCATGGTCAGTGGTGTCAGAAATCTTGTCTTCATTAGGCAAGTTAAGTGAATCCAGTAAAGGACATTCAGATGGCATTCAGATTGTAAGAGTGATGGTGACAACATCTTGGAAACATCACTTCAGATTTTCAGTGACATTTTTTAAATGATTTTATTGGGGATTTGGGGAAGAGGAACAGTGTTGGGGAATTGGGGAAGGGGAACAGCCAAGTTGTTGTCCTTTAGTCTTAGTTGTGGAGGGTACAGCCAGCTCAGTTCCAAGTCCAGTCACTATCCAGCCACCTGTCAGCAGCTCGCGGCTACTCAGCTCAAGGTGCTGTGTTCAATCTTAGTTGCAGGTGGGCATAGCCCACCATCCCATGCTGGAGTTGAACCAGCAGCCTTGTTAGGAGCACATGATCTCACCAGCTGAGCCATCCTGCCACCTGTTGGTAGCTCAGCAGCAGCTCAGCTTGGGCGCAGCTCACTGGCCCATGTGGGAATCAAACCGGCTACCCCGTTGCTCAGAGCTCGTGCTCTTAACCAACTGAGCCACTCAGCCAGCCCCCTTCAGTGACATTATTGCTGATAGCCCTCCTTCCACTCCCCCCACCTCATCTCTTGCAGTTGAGAATGAAAACCATTGTGATTTTGTGAAACTCCGGGAGATGCTGATTCGTGTGAACATGGAAGACTTGCGAGAACAGACTCACACCCGCCATTACGAATTGTATCGGCGCTGTAAGCTCGAGGAGATGGGGTTCAAGGACACTGATCCTGACAGCAAGCCCTTCAGGTACGAAGCCATCTAGCAACCAGGTGTTTTCCAGGCAGTGGCGAGAGTGGCGTGTTGGTGCATCGCAGAAATTCCTGTGGGATTGAGATATCGGGAGGGAGGTACCTGCTAGGGGCACATAATAGCATAGATTGCGACAACCACTTTATTTGCATTATCTCAACTACCCAGTGTAGTTGATGTCATTATTATCATCCTCATTTTACAGATGAGGAAACTAACGCACTGTAAGTGCAAACCACCTGCCCATGGTCCTGCAAGTAGGGGAAGTGATGGGGGTGAATTTGGAACCCCTGCTCTTAATCATTACACACAGGCGCAGAGCCTGGTCCAGGCATCTACAACGACTTGGCTGCTCCTTACAGTTTGCCTCATTCGTTTTTGCCAAATAGGCTTGTCTCCCCAAGGCTCTTTTTGAAGCATTCTTATTAGCTTTCAGTGGTTCAGTACAGTGCTAACAACAAATGAGTAGGAAAGGGGACAACCTATAGAAAATTTCTTATGGGTTTCCCCCACATCATTAATGAATAGAGATGAAGAGGCAAAATGTGAAGGGGAAAATATCAAAATTAAAGTAGAATTAGTGACCTAGGAAAGGCCCAGGCCCTCAGAGCCAGTGGTGGGGACCAGTCGGCCAGGGCAGGGTACTTGGTGGCTTGGAGCTGGAAGTGGAAGGTGAGGCTGCCAGGCCAGGCTCGCCACCTCCTGGTACGGGAGAGGATTGCTTTATCCAGACAGCCCTCGCAGTTTCTTAATATAGATGTGAGGCGTGCCTGGGCTTGGTGCCTGTACGGACTAGAGGCCACGGGTCCTTGGAAGATACTGTTTTCCTCTTTTGTCGCTAGCCCTCTTATTTACTGATATGTGAGAGCTGCCTGGCCATAACGCCTGAGGCAACCTGTGTGTGATGCAGCAGACTCCGACCCCCTGGAGCTGAGCTGCCATTGGTGTGGGAGGGGGTTTATTTTCTTGGAATTGCTTTAGAAATCGTTTGGTGTAAAGTCTGGGCTGGTCTCCTGGTGACAGTGCTACTGTGGAGTGCTGTGAGCATGTGTGAGAACATTGGTGAGAACAAATGGAGAACCTAACCAAAGGCTTCTAACCAAGAAGTTAACTTCTAGCTAAGTTCACATCATTCAGTCCTGCCCTGGGGGCTTGTAACACTGGCCCCTCTTCAACCACATGAAATGTCACTTTCTGAGGCGAGGCAGAGGATGCCCTTTTGTGTACACAGGTTTAGCTAACTAAACCTCGAAATATGTTGACCAAAAAATAGTCCCTACAAATCAGGTCTCCTATTTAACCTGATGAAAATAGTTTTTTTGTACGGGAGAGGCTATCTTTCTTTTCCTGCCTTTCTTTTCCTTTCTTCCTTTCTTCCTTTCTTTCTCCCTTTCTTTCTCCCTCTCTTCCTCCCTCCCTCCCTCCCCCACCCTCCCTCTCTCTCTCATAAAGATAGAACAAAACACTGCTGTAAAGTCAGACTCCTTGGCCCCTCCCTCACTCAGAGCCAGGCAGTGTTGAAGAGCACTGGGCACGAGTCAGCAGTCTGGGTTTGAGGCTTGGTTCCTGCTGTTACTCAACTTCTCAACTTTCCTGGGCCTCAGTTTCTTCATCTATAAAACGAGGAGCGGGGCTAGATCGGGGGACAGTCAGATCTAATAAAAGGCCTTGTTGTTTAATGGGCCAGATAGTTACCCAGCGGGAGCGCCATGCCTTCCCTGGACCCATTCCCCTGCTTTGCCCGTTTCTGGCTGGTGTTTGGGGTAGAAGAGGGGAGGAATGTAGGACGTGAGTGGGGACTGGTCTTGGCCCTGCTTTTCTCCCGAGACACCTTTGCCCAACAGCCCCTGTCTGAACCGCCCCTTCGTCACCTCAGAACACCACCTTGTTGACTCTACCTTTGAAGTGACAGAAAGCGCAGGCACCACTCTTCTCTCAAGATCACACCGTTTCCAGGCCCACGTGTTTTTAGGAGCGTGTCGGCTTCATGTCACCAGCCATGCAGGGCATAGCAGGGCAGCGGGAAGAGCTCCAGTCTGAGCTAGACGGCCTGGGCCCAAGTCCCAGCTCTGTCACTTCGTCATTATGTGAACTGAGCAGATTACTAAACACCTCTGTGTCCAAATTTCTCCATCTAGAAAGTGGGAGGCGATGCTAATGTTGTAAGAACTAATGAATCCTCACACGTAAATGGCTCCATAGGCCGTGGTGTTATACTCTGGAGTGCCCTCCACTGGTTGGTTCCAGGAGATTGTAGCAGAGAGAATCATGCTGTGTGAGTTACCAGGATGAAGGATGAACTGACGTGTCTGTCCTCATTCGCCTTCCCTGACTTCCATGAGCGAAACTTGCCTTTACCATGAAGGCTACGGGGAGAAATAAGAGACAATACCCTTAGTTTCAAACCAGCCTAAAGCCTCATGAAAAACCGTGCATTTCTCACTTAGAAAAGGGTGTTAATAACTACAATTAAACATTAAGTTGGAAGACTGAAAAATAGCAAAAGACAGCATTACTTGAGGTATCTGAGTAGATAGCATTGAGTGAGTTCCTTCTGGACTGCTTTTCACTGACTGGAAGCATTAGTGAGGGTTTCTGGTGTCTTTACAACTGAATTGGCAGAGGTGCCTGGGGAATATGATGCTGTGAATGCTGTGGTGGTTCCAGATCATTTCTAAATAACTTTCTGTAGTTGTGACTCCTTGGAATAAGGTTTTGTTACTTCTTTCTTATACGTTGCTTATCATTTCCAGTGTGAGAGTTCAAAAGCTGGTTCATATCCTAGGATACAGTGATCTGATAAGGAGCATTCGTTGAGCCTAAATCCCTGTTCTGGCCCAGGGTGTCAAAACTGCTGCCAGACTCCTGGCTGAGGCCACCTGGCCAGTGGCAACATTGGTCCTCAGTCTTTGTCTAGGACATGGGCTTTCCAACTTGGGGCTGCAACCTTTACTATAAAATATGTTCTACGTCATGATCCAGTGTGCACATTTCATGAAGTAATCCTTGATCATATTGTTTACACTGCACTGTAGTATTGTCTATCCTATTCTCTTACACTTTCTCTTCTAACATATTGGTTAAGACCTTCGATTGGGTCATGACCCATCGTTTGAAAACCTATCTCCAGAAACTGGAGCATAAGCTAGGTGGTGGCTGGGACTAGAGATAGCAGAATCATCTTGAGCGTTCCCAGTATTGTGGGTGGCATTACCCAAAGAACACCCTCTCTGTGGGTTTCTTTTTAAAAAGTTTCCATGATTTAAAAAATGGGGGAGCTCTCATTCAGTCAACTTAAACTAAAGGCTCTTGAGTGAAGGATTTCTCAGAGCATTTAAGACAAGCAGTGGATGGCAAACTGGTTACATCAAATCACCTGGGAAGCATTTAAAAAATACAGATCATCCTGCCTTAACCTCTCACCCTGAATGAGTATTTCCTGGAGTGATGCTAGGAAACTATTTAGAATCGAGTCCACTAACACATGCCCAGGCAACCCTGACATGCTGTTGGGTTTGGGAGCCCCTTTGCCTGGGACTGTCCTAAAGGGAGATCACACATAGCATTTTCCCTTTACTCTATGGACTCGGGAACCCCCTTTTTTTAAGATCTCGTGAACAAATGATCTCTGGAACACATTTTGGGTAGTGTTTCTTGATAATCTTTCTATAAAAGGTGTTCCACTGCTTTGTTAGAAAGAAGGAGATGTATTAATTATCCTGAAATCATAAAAAAAAAACAGTTTCCCCAAAAATTTCACAGCAGGGACAAGCCATCTTCTTCTGCCTTTGGCAATTCTTACCCAAATGATTGGTGATGGAGAGTGTGTTGGGAGCTGACAAGCAAAATAAAATTCAAGAATTATTTTACTGTTCGATTATCAACATATTTCTTTATCTCTGTGGCTATCTTAAATTTTTAAGTCTAAATATTGCTGTTAATATTAGCCAACATTAACATTGGCCAAACTTGTTTTAGCCTCATAGTAGATAATGTGAAAGCTAAATACTCCTCTGGAAACTCTGAACACGTGATCATTTATGAACAGGTAGTGCTGATACTCTTGAGGGCAGGAAAGCCTACTTTTAATCAACCAATAAAAGCGTTGATTATAGAAATAGAAACAATCCTAATTAAGACACTTCCTGATTGTTTAGTTCTTGGTATATCTACATGCACTCCCACTGCCTGAATGTCCCTTTTCACCCTAAAAGGACAAGTATGAATGCTGGGGGTGGCTCCCCTGGTGCCATCTGCCTGGGAGTCAGCACTTAACATGAATTTGGTCCACGAGTAAAGGTGGATGATAACCCTTCAGACTTGTGTTACTGTGACAACTCTTGCTCTAGGGAAACTGCAAGGGAGAAATAGAAATAGCACCTTGTAAAAGATCCCCAAATGTTTCTTTGTTTCTATGGGTGTGGGTGGGTGTATTCTTCAGTTGTGCTACCAAAGGTGATATTCCTGTAAATATATTTGTTCTGACTTAGAGATGCTGAGCCGTGGCCTTTGATTAAGTTTTATAGACAATCAGGAGTAGGATGGGGTTTAAAATAAAAACAAAACTCCTCCCTGCTCTATTTACAATGGGTAATAGAACTTGAAAAGTTGCAATTTTCTATAACATCTTTAGATATCCCATTGTCTCTAGCCGGCTCACTGAGTCTGTTTTCTAAATTGGGGACTGGAGGAAGATGAGTGGGGGAGGGTGACATTAGTTAAGCACTGAGTGCTTTACTCACTTTGCCCCCATTTGTTTCCCATATTCACGTCCTTAGAAGGTAAGTGTTAGTGTATTCACATCTTATACAGAGAGCATTGACGCTCAGAGGAGCCGTTGCCAAGATCAGTCAGTCAGTTGCTGTGGCCAGGGTCCAAACCCTGATCTGTCTGCCTCCAGTACCTATGCATTTTTCTCCCTACACTCCACCACCTCTGTTCGGACTGAGTCCGAGTTGTTCCAAGATTTGTACCTGAGAAGCCTCAAGTCCAAAGAACACACCACATGGCTGGGTGGGAGACATAGGTTTACTGAGACAGACCGGGGAGAGTGTCCAGTGGCGGCTGGCCGAGGGGTAGTGATCCGTACTTGAGCAGAGAAGAATCAAGGATATACATGTACAGCAAAACAGAGAGTATTTTGTGGGAGACATCACCTGGCAGGCCCTGCAGGCCTGCTCGCGGGTACACAGCATCCCCAGGAGCCAGGAGACCTTGACTGCCTTCTAGCTCATCTGCCTGTGGGCCAGTCCCTACAACCTCTGTCTTCTAAACTTCTGAATCATATGTTCAGTGTCTGCCTGGTGTGCTGACCTGGAGGATACCAGCCAGCCCAGCCCAGCCCAGCCCTGTATGAACACGTGTAGGCTAGAGCTTGGCCAGTAAAATACATCCCGGTAGTGCTGTGCTCTGCTTATTGACTCATCTCTGGTTCTTGATGTGCTTGTCTTTCTGATCACCACATAGCTTAAAAGAAGATGGTGTCGTTTTATATATCTTTTAATATGGAAAATGGCGGCCTTATCTGTTTTTTGGAAGAGGGTGTGTAGAAATTCTGTGAACTGGAATTTCTTGTGCAACTTCATGACACTGTTCTTGTTTGTGGCTGTTGAATAGTCTTCAGGAGACATACGAAGCAAAAAGGAATGAATTTCTGGGAGAACTTCAGAAGAAAGAAGAAGAAATGAGACAAATGTTTGTTATGAGAGTGAAGGAGAAAGAAGCTGAACTTAAAGAGGCAGAGAAAGAGGTAAGCCATCTATCTGTCCTCTTTCAAGGAAGAGAAATAAGCAAGGTGTTTTCTTAATACCTCGCATTGTATAGGACTCCATGCTGTCCTATGTACTGTCTACATACATTTAATCACATGCGTGGCATACTAACCTGGCAAGAAAAGTAGGTCATATATTTTTATCCCCATTTTACAGATGACAAAACTGAAAGTCATAAAGGTTAAGTGATTTATGCAGTCACATACCTAGTTAGTATATTAATAGCAAAGCTGAGACTTGAAAACTAAATCTTAGATCTCTAGACCTGCTTCCATGTTCTTTGTAGCTCTGTATTTCCTCAATATGCAAGTCTTGAAATGTGAGATTTGGGATTCTGGGACTATTATTATTATCTTAGTCTATCAGCCAGCTCAGTGAGCTAAACAGTGGAGGGCCCTTTAGCACTGCCTGATGGGTGATGGTCTCTGTACCCCATTATCTGTGCTCACACTTCCGCCTTTGAGGGCATGCAGTCTCTCCTCCATCATTCCTCCGACTCTGTCTCCTTCCCCATGCCCAGGCCAACTTAACCGCTTCTTAGCAGGTCACATGGATTTCTGCTATAACACTCATCCAGTTGAGAGAGAGTGTGTGTGTAATGTTTGCCTCTGATGGTAGATAATGAGCAACTTAAGTGCTTGACCTATAGCACAGTACATTTCCAAATGAGATGGCCTAAATAATTTCCTCACCATCCCCTTTTTATTTATCTTTATAATGACTACTGAAACTGAGACGTTATTTAAATAGCTGAGGATTTAACACAGTTTTGCTGCAGAGAAAGGAAAGTTGAGCCTTATTTGCTGTTGGTTTTAAGTACTAAGTGAATGCTGGATAAAAATCTAGAATTACCTAGTAAGAATATTTTTCTTCCTCCATTCCTTTCAGTTTTCGTTTCTGCATTGTGATAATTTTCTAAATTCAATTTGTCAAGGGCCAGAAATTTCTTAACCCTTCATTGGGCGCAACTAATCTCACAGATTGTCTTGAATTTCTGTTGATTTTTATACTGAATTTATGTAATAAACATACATTGTTTTTACTTTGTGGCAAGTTAAAATTTCATTCTGAATAAATAATAAGCATGCTTACACGTTATTTTCAATTTAAATAAATAAATGTCATACATGCATCTAGTAGATGCATTGTGCCCGAACTTGTAACTTTTGCATTGTGCCCGACAGAGGGTTAACATATTATTTGAATACAGACACACACACACACACACACACACACACACACACACACACGTGGTCTGACAATTCAGTGAGGAAACTCATCCTAGAAAAAGTGCTACATACCTCATTGCTGAATATTTCACTGTGGTCACCT